CGATAATGAATAGAGAACCAACTTTGGCCAGACTGGCGTAAGAAAATGCAGTTGCAAAGGGTTATAAAAGTGAATGTGAACACCTGAACTTTAGCGCACCACTGCTGGTTCTCTGAAAGCGAAACCGCGTTCGCAAAGCCCAGGAGACCTCCTTCAGCAGCGAGTCTGTGCGGGGCTTGGAGATAATTGCCTCATTTCCTGTAATTCGCAATAAGTAGATAGAGATTAGCTGAAGGCTAATTATATCCGAGGCACTTTATTCTATTCTCATGCTATTGTGACACAGCTGAAAGTCACTGTCAACAATGTAGTGGGCAATAGCTTTCCAGTTAATGTGTAGGGTTCATTAGAGACCAGCATAGGCTGCCTACTGATACTACACGTTATGCTCGCTCGATTAACCAAGCTAGCACGGGAACACATCGGAAACATGGATATTCTCCCTGTTAAATAAGTCTGCAAATCGGCAGAATAACGGGAAAACAGCACATTCCGGGGATAGGTTTGAAAAGAAAAGAAAAAGCAGTTATTCAGGAGAGACTCAAACCCCCGACTTCCTTCCGAAGAACCGAGGTTTCTGACCGTTCCTATCCGCTTGACCACCGTTTCCAGTATTTTTTCAACTTTTTTTAGTGGGAAGTGAATGTACATAGGGAATGAACCACGGAGGCGCTGTTTAACTTGTTTATGTAATACGCCACGCACACGTCTTCCACTCATGATCACAGTGACTTTTGTAGAAGTGTGAAGAATAGGTGAAACAACTATTTGAGCCAGCCGATGGGCTCATCGTCGCATGTAGAGAAATGTAACTTGTTGCTATGTTGTAGTTTCAATTACACTGAATTAATTTGGCTCAAATTTCCAACTAGACGGAGATACCGCCCTTCACGGCGAGGCACTAACGCGAGGATAGGATTCCACTAGCATCGCCACTGCTCTGTTCATTATTGGCACCGACTCAGGCAGCGTTCATAGTTCGCGACAGCAGCGGCGATCGCCGCGATCGCCAGCGATCGCCGCGATCGTCGGTGCATGGCAGCGCGCGCCCCAACGCTATTGTGAATGCTCGCCTGATGAATAAGGGAATTCAACTTGTAAGACCTTCTTTACTCTTAATAAGGGCTACTAACAGATAAACTACGACTTTCTACACATAAGCAGATCTGGAATATGAGGTAAGAAGGTTTCACTTCCTTTTAGGTCGGGGTAAGACCAACTCCATTTCCTGGGTGAGCTTCTTTTTTTTGTTTTTATTGTTTCAATTTATTCATGCCGTTCTCAATTGAATTCCTATCGTTGTAAGCTCGAGTTTGAAGTTGAAACTTCCAAAACATTCATAGTTTACAAGTCGAGTTCAAACAACGAAGAAAAAAAAGAAATAGAAAGAAACTCTCCTAGGAACCAAAGCACTAATCATTTTACGCGACATCAACAGGTGAAAACTTGATGAATCATGGTACAACCTTCGACGAATGAAAAAAAAGAAGCAATAAAAACGTACCTCAAGTGAAGCTCTCGCGCTTTTTGCTCATTTCTATCCTAAATAAGAAAGAAAATAGAAAACAAAAGCGATTAGCTGGGCTCGCCTTCCCTTGTGTTCAAACCAGCATCAGCTACCTAAAGAAACTGTGCCAGTTAGAGGAAAAAAAGGCCATAAAAATTGAGCCGCTTACCCACAGAAGCCTTCGTAGAGCGCAAAGTGAAATAGCGTTGGGGGCGCGCGGCTGCCCATGCACCCGACTGTACTACGCGGCGATTGCTGCGCATCGAGGCGATCGCCGCTGCTGTCGCGAACTATGAACGCTGAACTACGACCCCAACCCCTCAATCAGCAGGCCACATACACTTCCTCTTAGCGGATTCTGCAACACATGGTTCATCCTCAGCGCATCGCGCCGCGTTCGCCACTTTCAAATGCTCGGAATGACCTATTGACCTCGCTTGTCAGGCTCAATACGCGCCCTGAAAGTAAGCGGAAAATGACACATAGCCGCTTCATAAGCCGCTCAAACTGCGGTTTTTTACCTACCCTGGAGTCCGCAGGTAGGTCCACCATTCGATAAATGTGCTACGTCTCGATCGCCGCATGCGCGAACGTTAAATGAGACGCTGAAAATCAAAACCAAATGGTTATTTTCAGAGAATTTGATCCAGAAGGGACATATCTGGAAGATTCGACCATAGAAAGGCATTTCAAGGCATGGTAATGATAGGAGAGGGGATAATAAGGAGTCCGCTGAAAGAAGTTCAAAGCAAACCAAGAACGAGAAAGCTCTACGAGAAAAAAAGTTTCGAAAAGGACTTCAAGAAGTAAATGAGGAAATGTCACTCTATATCTCGAAAGGGGTCCAGCATTCAATAGAAGCTTCCTATTCTTTGATTATTCTTAATCAATGCAAGCTTTTTGAAGTATGCTTTTATATGCATACTGCACCTGTTTACGCCGCAGTTCGAGTTCCGCGAAGCCTACAGAACTGTTGAGTTAGGCGGGCACCCAAAGTCGAACTCCAGGCGGGAGTCGAACGCGCACCTGTCCGCGTAACTGATAGCGCGCTCGCCCCGGAAAGCGTGAGGCAGGGCACGCCATTGCGTTGTGATCATTTCCTGAAAAATACGACCCCCCCTAATTCCATCTTCAAGTACGACCCCCCTCCCCATGTTACCTCTTCCCTAGATTTTTCCAACCTCCTACCACTTTGTCTATTTTTTCCCAAAAATTTCTGGTTTTTTTTACAAAATTTTGCTGTCGAGCGGGGGGGGGGGAGGGGGAAGCCGTACATCGGTGGGCGAGATACTTACGTACGTCCCAAGCGCGTCCAGCACGTCTTGGCGCTGCGACTGGTACATACAAGCGTGTTAGCATACTGGCAATAGCGTACGAGTGATAGGTCGGCGAGGCACCATGAATTTATAAACTACTCACGACGTGACGATTAATAAACAGATGAAAGTACAATCCCAAACTTTTCTGATCGTAGGAGCACATGTGTTTGCACTTGGGAAGCCCTATCTAGAAGTTTTTAAATAACCATTCTTTTATTTTCTTAAAAAAAAAAACCTGCGTGAAAGCCCCATGCATGGCGCATTGCACAGTTGATGCCAATTGGCGCCCAATGGCCTATTTCCTGATACCCTTTGCGAAAACATGTGTTTTAGAAGCATACCAAAGTCTTCAAGCCAACTGGAGGTTTCATGGCCTCGGAGGGGCTGATTTTTCGTGTCGTGGGGGGGGGGGTGGTCACGAAATGATCACAACGGGGAATTTTTTCGAATAGCAGGCCTAGGAAGAAAATTAAAGCCTTGCTGGAAAGTAGAAATCTTCAAGCTTCCGGCACAATTTTTTTTACGAAAGGCCGTGTATGAAGCTTGCCATGGACGTCCAAAGCGTAGCGACTCGCGGTTCGCAAAAATGATCACAGACGGATCACAACGATGATCACAACGGGGAAAATCTCTGGAATCGGAACGTTTTTGAAATCGCTCAATTCAGGTGACAAGAGCCAACCTAGCTCTACTCATTCCCACTTACCCCTCTCCGATAGCTTCACTTTCAACGAAGTTATGGGTGTTCAAATGAGGGGTACTTTTCACGTGTTTGGCTTGAAATTGGCTCCAGGCCGTAAAATAGCGCGCACCAATGAGCTTGTATGAGCGCGCTGACCGCGAACAGCCAAAATTCAAAAGTAATCCATAGTTCCGGTTCCCAGCTGGCCTGGTGAGTTTTTTTTTCTTATCCATTTTCCCCCCTCCCATCCCTCCCCCATTTGATCTGTGAATGATTCTTGAATGTTTGTTTTGTTGAGTTTTGATTTTGTTGTGAGGAAATTGCTCAGGATTCAATTTCTACGGTTTCATAGGTAGCTTTTGCAAGTGGATCCTTTTCTAGATTTGCGGATTATGGATGGGATTTATCTAGGACCAGATGTAGTGAGCAGGTTGTCATAGACGCGTCGGACGTGGGCAAGTGTCTTGAAGTTTTTTTTTGCTAGGTAAGGAAAAAGTTTCAGCAATATTTTTTTAGTTCTTGGCCTAGGAATAGTTCGATAGTGCCTAGTTCTATTTATTGTCATCTACATCGTCCCTTTTGAGCTTCTTTTCACTTGTACCGTGTATCACCGCTCTCTCCACTTCAACATGGGCCATGCGTTTACGACCCCCCCCCTCCATCGCGGGCAAATACGACCCCCCCTGTTGTGATGATCACAAAGATGGCGTGCCCTGGCGTGAGGTGCGGGTTTGACTCATCATTGTCTCCACAGTCATCGGAAGTGAAACTATCTCGCGAGTCGAATTTCCGTCACAAAGAGCCTTTTTTTGTTGTTTGGGATTTTCCTGGTATGGTACATTTGAAGCATGAATTCTAGGTTTATTGTGTCGAAACATGAATTTGCACGCTCTAATTAACGCCCATGTCACACTTTCAGGACGAGTTTTCTACGTAAAGCACGAGCGAGGGATTTCTTGTCGACCGCACGGCTCTGAAACGTGTGAATTTGCTCCCATCACAGTTCAAAAACAATGCATTCCCTTACTTTTTGGATGGCGTAGTCACGATTTCCACCAGCAACTGCTTGCCCCGCTTCGATCGCTGCCTTAATATTGGTTATTTTTTAGAACATACAATTCATCATATAAATGAAAGCACTACCGGGCTCGCAGCAACTCTGATGCCGCCATCGGACACGGGTGGTCCACCGTCAGGACCTACTGCTCCTCCTTTGAAATCTTTGCCACTAGCTGCTGCTTCAACTGGTGCTATTACCGGTCCTTGTGGTGCTGCAAATGCTCACACTAAACAACACTGATACTCAAAGACAGCTTAGCGAGTCGCTATATAATGCTCAGAAAAAGCAACGGTCTTATTCATAGCGTTTTCGGCGTTTTTAGGCCTTTTCTTTCGCTAATGGTCATCTAACGCCGTGACCTACATATGTACTCGGACCTCGTTACCGTTTACTGGTGATTGCGGGCCGCTGTTTTCGGAGCTGAAAGCTATATCACATGTAAGTTCCATTTATATTACCTGTTCCTGTACTGAATTTTGAACTCGGCTGTGCTTCGCTCACCAGTTGACCAGATGCAGCGACAGACACACCTCCAGGTGCAGTTTCTCTGTACTTGTCTTCACTTTTCGGTAGTGCATAGGATGCTAAAACAAGGCTATATGTTGGTCGAGGATTTCAATTTTTTCAATTCAAAAAATTGAAATTCATTATTGGATGCTTGAAAGTACGTTTTTTCGATCGATCCGGACAAGGGCAGTATTCAGCATCAGCGCCAGTCCTACCAGCACGACCAGGAAGACCTGGTAAACCGACTGGACCGACTTCACCGGGTGCTCCCTTGAAAACTTCACATCAGTGTCAGGGGTGCATATAAAGAGAAAGACTTATCCTCACAATCGGTCCAGGAGGTCCCTGTGGCCCAGCCAAAGCGTCGTCTCCACGCTCTCCTGGGAGTCCTTCGTCACCTGGCATTCCTGCTGGTCCCATTTCTCCTTGAGGCCCTGGTGGACCTTTTGCGGTACCGCGAGCATCATTTCCAGGAGCTCCTAGAGGAGTTTTTCATTCACTCGGTGTAGTATTATCGAGATTAGATTGAAAACAAACCTCTTTCTCCGGTTGCACCAATAGCTCCAGGAAGACCGGGTAAACCATCCGGGCCTTCATCACCAGGAGCTCCGTTGTCTCCAGGCTTTCCCTGTGGACCTTTCTCACCCTTCAAACATTTGAGTATGAATAACTACACCAGTATTGCAAAGCTTCGAATGTTACCTTTGGTCCACGTGCACCACGTTTTCCTTTGTATCCTGGCTGACCAGGTGGGCCTCTAGGACATGGAGAACAGTCTACATCAGACAGGGCACCTCTTGCCACTCCAGATTTTCCTGGCACTCCAGGAACTCCGGGAATACCATCAAATCCTGAAGAGTCTCTGTTAGTAGATCAGCACGATTATCGAAGCCAATTCACCTTTGCTTCCAGGAGCTCCTTTCGTGCCCTTCGGTCCGGCTGGACAGTTGTTTGCCCCGCCAATTCCATTAGCTGCGCCGTGACCCTGAGCTCCAATCACACCTGCATCACCGTTAACATCAGCTCCTGTTCCTCCTCCTGCTCCACCGTTAGTACCACTCTGTGTCGATGCAGACTGTGTTGCTCCTCCATTAGCGCCATTATTCGAGGATCCGCTTCCGCTAACCGATCCAGCATCTTGCCTATCTAAAAAATACAGATGAATACGGGCATACAGCGCGACAGCTATTATAGCTTGGAAGTGCAGAGACGTACATGCTTGACGGGATGTCCTGCGAAGCATGTCACTTTCACTCATCAAATCTTTCCACATCACGTTCGACATTTCACTGAAGACTTCCCGCGATTCTATCAGCTCCTCTTCGATACTATTCATTATGGTGAACAGAACAGGCATGGAAATGGCCTATGAATGAAGAAATAAAGAATGGAAGAGAATCGTGAACACTTCATTAGATATCGAAAGTGGAAAGCCTTACCAGTGAAAGAAAAGCACATCCTGACAGGAGCGTTGCAAAGTTTGTTGAGGTGTTGAGAAACTGTGAAGGATATTTCCCCATCTGGAATGAATCACACTGTTTTTCTTCAAGAATATCTATGGGCATTCGAATAATTCGCAGGTAAAAACAACAGAGAAGTAAATGGAGGGTTGCCTTGGTAGAATCCACTTTAGCACATCATTTCTCCCGCCAGATCCCTGATTTCGGTCATTTCAAAAGTGTTCGGTGAAAATAAAGGGGATTGAGGGAAGCGAATGTGACAAACTTCAACGGCAATACTGCAAATTTTGCGACTAATTTTAGTTCATACAATGTGTGACTGTGTGGTTACTACGGCTACGTTTTCCTTATATAGTAAAAGTAAGTTTATCTGCTATTAAAGATCTACGACAAGATTTTCAGCTCAAGACTAGTTTTCCTGGATAATTCCGTGATCCTCACTGGGATTAAATACCACTAGCACATTTTATTCGCCTCGAAACGTGATGTTGATCTTTCTCGAATCGCTATTGCTTTTCCGTCATAAGTTCCGAGCGGATCTGTTGTGATGAAATTCGGAAAAAGAATAGTTGAGTTTCAATTAAGCAACTCATGCAGGTAATTGCGATAATAGAGGGAGAGCCATTTTAGTAAGGGCGACATTTGTTTAGGTTGATTGCTTGCTAATTGTTGTTTTAGAGTGTTAATTGAACATGTAAATTGTACCGTTGCGGTGAAAGGAGAAACTGGCAACCGACACTTTTCCTGTAGATTCCTTGTGACTGCGGGTTCGGAAACAGGAAAGGAATAGAAAGCATCCACAAGTTATATGGTAAACTGGACATTGGAATGGAACTATGAGTTCTGCTCAATTTCGCTGCGCGCTTGCCCCAAGGATATGCCGAGAACGGTACGAACAGATTTTCTTGGTCCTCACTGATTCTCCTTATTCCAACCACATACTGGATTACTGCAAACTCACCAGCGGTTACTCTCTCCTGGAAGAAGAGAGTAACCGCCGATGGTTCTCTCTTGAAAAGCATTTGAGGGCGAGCCTTTTAGAGGCATAAGTAAATTGTTTCAGTCTGCAAATATCTCTTTCTAAAACTTCCTATGACTTGTGTTCTATTCACACTTATGATATTAGGGAGTGCTACTTGACTTTCGTAGAAATACATTTCATGAAAGGCTGGGACAACGGCTATCACGGGAGCCAGCACTCGCCCCGGTGGGAGACGAGCAAGAGAATCGTAATTTGCCGCTCCGCCGCGCGCCGCAATGGGCGCGGCGTTTTCTTAACTCGTGTTAACCTGTCGATTGGAGCACCGGACTTCATGTAGACCCCGTCATCGTAGACATTCATGACTATTTTCGGTTCTGAATTGCCTGTTGTCGCCATCTACTACCTGGAACCATCGTCATTTGCGGTGCGACGTCGCACGCGACGCCCACCAGCGCGGTGAGTTACGATTCTCTTGTCATATATCCCGCCCCGGTTGCCGTCCATCATGGGATCCGATACTCGCTGAGGTAGTGGTTCCACCCATATGCGCCCTCCGTCCCATTCTTCTTTACTTGGAGTCAAGCATGCCTTTTGAGCTTTGGGATGATGTGAAAGCTCACCTAGGGTTTTTATCTAATTCGTTCCCGCACTAGCGACCACTTCAATCAATACCCGTCTGTCCTTCCCGTCTACAGAATCAGGGCTCCATTGTAATGGTAGCGCGTAGACGGGCGACATCTCGAAGTCTGAACGCGGCCTAAGCCGAAGGACTCGGGTAAGTGGCCTCACTCTAAACGAATATGCCAACCCATGTGACGCATTGCGTTAATTCACTGTGGGACCAATCTGCGATCACCGTTCTCTTCCAGCTAGTCTTTCCGCTTTCTCATCCTTCGTCTCTGGTCACTCCATCACACAACAATGTCTTATTGGAATGTTGTCCAGTTTTGGGTCCTAATCTTCAACGTTTTTGTCCATCCTCTTCTCCATTAGGACTCATCTATCATTTGCGAAGCCATACTTGACCCCCCCCCTCCCTCGAATTGCGGCTGCGGGATGTGTCTTCAAAATCTGCAGAGCATTTATCATAAGGCTGCTTGTCAACGGGTTCAGTTTGGTAATCACTATTACGGAAGTTACACAACATTTGCGAATGGCATTGTATTAATCTGTGAGCGATCTTGTGTTGGTCAAGACTTTGGGGCGATGTAGTAATACTAGTAAACTGCACTCTCGTTCCGGAGTGTAAAAACAAGTCTCAGCCTATCGGTGTAAAGTTGTTCACGTGTTTACGCAGCTGTTTACCATTCAAAGCGACAGCGTTCATGACGAGAGCGATTACGATTACCAACTAGCCACTGACCTCTTCCCTTCAATACTGAACGATTCCCCCAGTTCGACATCACAACATCACATTCATACTGATACGTATTCTGAACTGGCAAGGAAATTGGTTGCGGACAAATGCTCCCTTTACAGTGCATTGCAATTGTGCTAATAAGTTTTGAATCTTAATCATTGTCCTCCTATTTTGAAACTTATTCATTGTCCTCCTTCTATCTGTCTATCAACTCACTTCATTCTTGAGTAGTTAGGCAGTGTCGAATTATTAGGAGCCTTCTTAGGATCCTGTTATGACACGGAAACGGGAGCGATCGCTTTCAATATTCCTTTGCTCTAGTTGGCGGCCATCCGACGCACGGAACAGTTAGGAGAATCCCCTAAGGAGTCGTAATTTTTCGCTGGGATGGTCACATTTGGTCAATGGTGATAGTACTTGGTCTTGATAAAAATTTTCTAAAGTCGCGATGAATTTTTTTCAGGTGGAGACATTTCCTTCCCCCATCCCCCTTAGTTGGCTGGGTCGTCGAAGTCCTGCACAACTGCTGTTTCCGACAGTTGTAATTAATAATTGTTTGTGATGACCACCCCCATCCCAATCTTCCGGGCCAGTTTTCTGGGGAGTTTCAACTGGAACCCCTCGGGAAAAGTGTAGGAAGTTTTGGAAGGCTTAGGAAGATGGCGGTAGGATAGGAAACTAAGATTGTGCCAGATGAGGAAAATTCGTATGCGGGGAGGGGTTGTACTGACCTCGCCCTTTCCGCATCACGATACCTGTACCCTGTCCACACACTAATTATTTAAGGAGGTGCATTTCAACCACGCTGGCCGTGGTCCTTTTCAGTTGCTCGCTGAGGCATCAATGTTGAGTATTTGATAGTTACGATTGGGATCTTATGCATGCCCTGGCCCACTCTCCTGACGAGGAAGTTGAGGCCGGTTTTTCAGCGACGGAACAGCCGCGAGAACTCATCGTTGTACGTGAAACTAAACTCTGACACTTCATGAACCCAAGGCTAGCCGGCGCAAGCACGTGAAACTGTCACGTCATGTGATCAGCGTATTTTAATTCGTCTGTTTTATGCGACGTTCGGCGGAAGAGCGCTTGTGAATTTCACTTGTGAAATCGATCTCTTATCTTATACTGATTAGTGCTTGCCCACAAGCCGTAGTCTTATGGTAATCAACGATCACCTACCAAGTCATAAAGTTGACTTCTCTCTTCCACTTCTGTACTGTCAGCTACGTCGCAGTCTTTTAAAATAGGAAGTATACTTGTTAACCTTTGTGGTCAACCTCTATTGATGAAAATGTATAGCAAAATAAGGAAAATATAGTATAGTATCCGAATTCCAGCATATACATACATTCCTTCGGCGGCTTTACAATTGTTCTTTACAACACTTTGTTAAGTATTCGGATCACACATGTCTCTTGGTACATGGCATTCTACACAGTGAACGATTTCTCGGTTATTGAATACGTATCGATTAGGGGAATTAGAGATCCACGGAATCCATGGAATTGCTGTAATTCGTGAGATCAGTGGAACCCGGAAATCGTACCCTTGAATAGTGACAATGACAGAGCGCCATTGTAAGCCTGAGCTTGTATTGTAGGAACTTCGCGCTGCTCGATCATTCACATTAGCTTTACGCACCGTCTGATACAGGTGATGGGGACTTTCATAAGAGTTCTTTAGAACCAAAAATGCCAGCACTGACCTTGCTCAATGGCTTGGGAATGAGAAGCGTGACTTGTTCTGTATTAAAAGCTGACCTCGTGAAGAATAACTTGAGAGAAGTGAAAGTCAAAAAATTATAAGACCTGGAGCGATCTGACGCTCAGCCTGTCATTATTGCTTGCTGCGATGAAAACACTTTCCAGTGCCACTCCAAAGTTTCTCAGCTGAGTTTCTTGCAAAGGTAGAGAATTGGGGACGCTGCAGTCACTATAGGAGCGCAAGCATGTTTACGAATGTTGTCGTCGAACATCGACGATCCGTCATAGTGCGTTCATACTATGCGTGAGCATTTTGAGCGATTAGGAAAGTATCGGTATCGATCGAGCGTTTCGGGCGTATGCCAGCGTACAGCAGCGTTTTGAGCGACTACCCAGGAATGTATAGAAATTGATCGAGCGTCTTGAGCGTAAGCTGGCGTTTTCAACGACTACCCACACAAATTCCAAAACTTCCCCCCAAATGCTCAAAACGCTACGCTCAATATGCTAGATCGATATCTGTGCAGTCCGTCAAAACGGTGCCAAACGCTTAAAGCGCTTACGCAAAGTATGAACGCAATCCCACGTGTTATGGACATGTTGAATGACGGCGTATTGCATCAACCGACATACCGCGTCATCGCATTACGTGTCGTTAGGTCAGTGACGAGGGTAGCGAGCGCCAATCGCGACTTTCTAATCAATGTTTATACGTATTCTTGCCTTGATTGAATGGGAAGATTTCATTGCGTTTTGTAATATGTTTTGGCATATTTAAGCGCTCTGGAATAGCCAGAGCGCTTTTTGCTCTGTTGGAAGGATAGGAGAATAAAGGTGTTGAACCACCGAGTCAGTTTGGTGCATCGAGCAAACTGTGGAAAGATTCCCAAGAAAATCTCTGGTTCGTGAACCAGTGGTCAGGAAACCTGATCGAAGTGGCCCGCAGAGGTCCCCATCAAAGCGAAGGATGGAATCTATCATATACGGTAAACCCATCTTAAATGGTGTTCTTACGCTCAGATCGCTTATAGCGAATTTCAGAGAGTACACGAAAACGCCCGACCTTTCACAAGATGATGAAGAGCAGTATGAACAAACACTGCAGGCCATAGACCTCATTAAAGGCAGTATCATCTCGCAAATCAGCTCTGCCAAGTGTGAGTTGCAGTCGTTAGTCGAGAAATGCAAGAGCTACATGAATACGTCAAAAATATAGGATGACAAGAAGAGTATCTTGCAGGAGCTTGAAAAAATAGAAGAGGAGGCAAAATACACTGCCGTTTTGAATGAAGCATCGGAAATGAACCTGATGCTGAATACCCGACTTACTGAGGCCTGCAGCAATGAGCGAAGACTTCTTCGAAAGCTAGGAAAATATGTAAGACCTCAAGGCGTTCAGGAAAACAGTCTCCTTCATCCACTAACTTACGAGAGCACTACAGCCGAACCTATTTCGCCGGAACCGAATCATTTGTCCGGTACGATCCCACCACCAAGGATAAACCTTCCGAAGTTTTATGGAAATGAACAAGAATTTCCTGAATTCTGGGCGGCGTACAAACAGTATAGTTCACAATAATCGATCATTGACGGTAATTGAGAAAATGCTACTCCTCAAAGAGAGCTTACGGGGTAAATCAGATAGAGCGATCAAGGGAATACAACTCTTACCCCAGAACTATCAGTGGATGATAGAAACACTCACCAAAAAGTATGGGAACAAACCAGCTAATCGCTCACGTATAGTCCAACGGCTCCGAGACCTCCCCCCAGCGGACAGAAGGGCCGAGAGCAATGAGCAGACGTACGACAAGATATGTGTGCTGTTGAACCAAATGCTATCAGCGGGACAAGACATTCGGGCAACGAAAGATGCTATGTGGAGCGAAGCAATCCTCAGTAAATTTCACAGAGATATAGTTGAACCGGTGCTTGTCAAAATGCGGGAACAGGACGATACCACCGTTGAAAACATTATGCAAATGATAGAAACGGAAATATCAGCGAAGTCATATATTCAGTCAAGGACTCAGCTGAATGAACCCAATAAGAGGGCATCAGAGTCCCGATATTCGCGGATTCAAAAATGTGCAATCTGTGACAAAGATAACCACTTTGCTTGGCAGTGCACGACACCTCTCACGGTTACAGAAAAGCGACAGATTAATTCTTAACCGAAACAACGATATGCTGAATAAGTGTTATTCCGACCGCATTCAAGCAAAAGAATGATTAGCAGAACGCATTCTCGTGGCTAAGCTGCATCACAACAAACTATGCCTTCTTAGCGAAAAGTCAAGCATGAGTCAGTTTTACGTGCGCCAGAATAGCACAAGTAGTGGCTGCGAATCAAATGGAAACCGTGAAATGACGCTAAACGACCGTCAGCACTTACAACATCGAAGCAGCAACAACCGCACAAAGAGCGACGGGACGAATGAGTCACGTAGACAGAGGCCGACTTGGCGAGGGAATCAAAACACAAGCCTCCACATCGAAGGGAATCAGACTGAAGAAAATCCAGAGAGAGAAGAATGACGTCACAAGTAACGAGGTTCAAAGCACAGTGAATCACACGGCGATAAAAACTCCTGAGACACAAGGTCGATACCAGATCATTCTAATGACCGCCGAAGGGAACATATGGAATCACAATACTGGAAAGTTCGAGAAAGCCGTGTTTCTTTTCGATACGGGGGCACAGAAAACCATCATTGAGCAAGAATTCGCGTTCAAGCTAGGGCTTCCAAGGCTGAAAACTGAAACCTGCGTCATGTCAGGGACGCGCGGCCAACACTAAATGTTGTGAGAGCCAAAATTGTAAGCGTTAGAGTGGGTACATCGCTTCGGAAGAGAGATTGGATCTATTGATACGACTACGAAACCTTGTTTTTTGACAAAAGGGGTTTCCATCAGTGAAGCTCAGCCCAGCAGACCAGGCATTCCTTCAAGAACGCAATATTCTTGTTTGTAATCCAAGCGTTCGAGGTGAAAATCAACTGCCTCAAATTCTGGTCGGCCTAGACCACTATTACGACTTTGTCCTTGAAAAAAGGGGAAAAAATCCCTTGTCAAATTCCATCCGGTCTTCGGTTAGCAGGCACTATCTTCGGTCCAACCTTGTACGGTCGTGGATTCATGGAAAATGAAGAAGTCAGCATAACCGCACCGGCAATTACGCACTGCATCACCGCACTAAGTTCGGAAGAGACGGAAAACGAAATACTAACGAAACTTTTGTTGACAGCTGGAAAGGTCTGAATAAATCTGAAATGACGGAGAATAATAATCAACATGCTTTATCGTAATCTCATAAAGGTTTCGAGAGAGGATTTCGTTCGAGAAAGGGTTGTTTTTCAACCGGCCCCTTTCCCGCATCAAGACAAAGTGAAACGATTAGGCGAGATAAATTACTCCACAGCCATTAAAAGATTGGCAAGTTTACATCGCCAACTCCAGAATAACCCCGAGCAAAAAGAGTGGTACGTCAGGGTCTTTCGCCAGTATGAGAAGGCAGACGACGATGCATTGAGGAAGGCTCCATGAAAGACATCATCAACAAATGTCCTGTGGGAGATCTATATTAATATCCTCACGTCGGAGGTGGTGTGGTCGCCCATAAACCTCAGCCGCTGCGATTGTTTTTTATCGCAATGCTTCAAAAACGTAGGGTAGCTTCAATTAAATGATGGTCACTCACAAGGTGGAATCTCTTATTCAGAGAAAAGAAATTCATGATGATATACGGTTGCCATGCATGTTCAGCGCGTATATACATCTTGACCTGCGAATCTGAAAGGCCGCATTTACTCAAATAAGGCTCCACGAGACGCACAAAGACCTATGCCGCTTTCTTTGGCTTCGGGACCCGGACAAACCACCTTCGCGAGAAAACATTGTAGAATACCGTTTCAAAAGGATCCCCTTTGGCGCAAAGCCTTCTCCGAGCATTTTAAATATGTCGCTCCTCGCCTTTCTGCAGTCGAAGAACACAATGCCCTTTCTCAAGAGATTCTCGATAACTTGTACGTTGATAACATTCTCACTCAGTGGCGTCAAATCCATCAGATAGCAATCGTTAAGCGACAAGAAAGTAATGGCACCTCCTATCAAATAATAGAAATGATCTCAGGGAAATATTCGCTCGTTAAGACATGCTGAGTGTAAATGACGCTATTCCGCTCGTGGAATCGGAGCCCCCACACAGAGGATGTACACCAACAATTCTCTGGGGTGAGGTCACTGACAACGAGTCGGTGACCAATTTCTGCATACGCCTCAAGTTTGCGAGAAAAGACAAGAAAGGGCTAACAAAAGAGGGATGTCGCTTAGCCATACTCAAATTCGCATATGGAATGACTCCCCCCCTTTTTGGAATAGTCGGTCCAATAACAATACGACTGAAGCAGCTAATGAGGGAAATCTACGAAAGTGGCGTAGGGTGGAAAGAACCGATAGATGAAAAGCTAGCGAGCAGATGGACTGCAACCTGTCAAGAGTACGAAAATGTTTCGCTCGCCCTACCACAGTTATGCAAGGGTACCAATCACTCTCGATCGAACTATAGCACTTTGGGTCTTTGCTGACGCGAGTGCAAAAGCCTTAGCAACCTGTGCTTACCTACGTCACGAAGAAACAAATTCCCTGTCAACGTTGATAAGCGGAAAAACGCGACTAGCTCCCAAAAAGACAAAACAAACTATACCGAAGCTGGAAGTGTAAGCTATCTGATGCTATTCGGCCTCGCAAGAAGCATTGTCGTCAGCCACAAGGTAAAGATCAATAGAAATAAAGGTGCTGCAGTGAGTGATGCGAAATCGCACTGTGTGATTAGATCCAATAGAAAATTGCCGTTATTCGTCGAAAATCAAAGAAACCACATTCTCAAACTAAGAAGTACGCTAGAGTCTGAAGGGATATCAGTTAATTTCTTCCATGTCCGCACCGAAGACAATCCTGCTGATGCAGGGACAAGAGGAGTTGATGCCCACGTTAATCAATGACCTACCATGGGTGCGGGGTCCGCAATGACTTCAGAGAATGAAAATACACTCCACGCCTGAAGAGATGCGGATATCCGTGAGCTAGACTTGGACCAGAATGCAGATACACCAGACGACCATGTAAACGTACAGGTAGCACGTACAAAAGATAGCAGTACGCCTGGTCTGATAGCACTTGAACGATTCTCACGCTTAGACACGGCGTTACGACTTTGGCTCGCGTAGGTAAGGAATCGATCATGTGATCAACAGGAACGAAGACAGGAGAGCATTAATCGCAGAAGGAACGCACAGTTGAGCGAACTGTGCTTACAAGAAGTCCCACGAGGACTACGAGATCACGGCAAAAGATGTGAAAGTGAGTGAGACTTTCCTACTGCGACAAGAACATGCTACCATTTCGCTGAACACTCTGCAAAAGAGATTCCCACAAAAGAAAATCTTCCGAGACGAAAATGGAATTATCAGGAATGCATCTCGCATTCAAAATGCACCCGTTTCGTACGATGTAAAGAACCCGATATATTTGGAGAAGAATTCCGATCTCACAAGACTTATTGTAACTGACATTCACATCAAGAATGGCCATTCCGGGAAAGATCATACGCTATGCATTGCGAGACAGCGCTTTTGGATACCGCGGCCATGTGGGGTATTCAAGAAGTACTTGAAAAATTGCGTTGTATGCAAAAAAGCTCACGGTCTTACGTTGAGGCACCAGAGATGGCCTCGGGGTGCGGGGGGGGTTAGGCGTGGAGCTTACCTGAGACAGAAAGCCGTTCTAACGAAAAACCATTTCAAACAGCTAGCGGAATGCCGTTTTAGTTGGGACCTTTTCTATTTCCAGAGGAGAAATAAAAAAATACTATCGTCTCCTCTTATACAATGTTTAAGCGATCGCAGAGCGTACACCTGGAGGTGGTGGAAGATATGTCTACAGGAGCGTTTTTGAACTCCTTCATAAGATTCATCTCTAGACGAGGAGTCCCTACTATCATTCGAACGGAGCTGCGTGGCTCGAACTTTAACCTTGGCTCAATCAGATCATTGATCAGGATGTGTACGCCAATGTGAGAGTACTGGCGATTCAATAATGTCCTACAGCAGTAATCGCGGAATACAGTGGATCTTCAACCCACCAGGGGCCCCCTGGATGGGTGGAGCTTGGGAGCGTCTTGTAGGAACAGTGAAACGGGCCTTCACCAAGTCTGTTGGACGAAAAAGGCTGTCACACTCGCAGCTTTACACAATCATGACGCAAATTGAGAGGCCATTATCAAATCCATGGCCCCTTATCGGCATTAAGCACTTCGAAATGCAGACGATCCCCTTACGACCCATTGATTTTTTGCAAACAAGCCTGAAATACAGTCTACCTGAAATGGACATGGAGGAGCTTGATGACCCTACATTTGACCCCACCCTTATTCAAACAGCGGCTCAAGCTAAACAAGCTATTCAACAGGCGGAACTAATCACCTCAAGGTTTTGGGATCGATGGTATACAGAGTATCTAACAGCTCTACGGGAATTGCAAGCTATGAAAAGAAAGCAACCACGGCACGGAAAACTGAGAGAACCGCGGGTTGATGAGATTGTCCTGGTAGAACAAGAAAATCTACCCAGAGGCACCTGGTGCTTTGGCAAAATAATCGAGCTGGTAAGAGGTAACGATGATCTAGTGAGGTCTGTCAAACTGTTGATGCCCAACAAGCACGTGTGGTTACGGTCGGTCAACAAAATCTATCCGCTCGAAATTTCGACAGGAAGCGCCAAGGCTTCAGACATTAGACTGAAAGAAGATCAGCCCTCACAAGAAATTCACGAGGACGAAAGGACTCATCCGCGGTTGGCAAAACTAAAGGCGAAAGAGGCTATCAAGAAAATGGCAAAACGCTTCCAAAGCGGCTCTAGTGAACCTCGGCAATCTACGTCACATGCACATATGACTCTGTTTACAGTCACCATGATCATTATTACAGTTTTGGGTCCAACAGTGGCTGCCTTACCAAGCATCTCGTGTAATCACAAGACTCTTTCTGTTACCCCACCAAATGGCACATTCCAACTCTGCATGCGGTCCACTTGCAGATACTTTCTGGATAGCTCACCAAATCTCACATTTCAGTTGCCGCCAACGGCACGCAATGAGGTACTACCAGTGTTATTGCGATACTTTTCTGGAGAAAAATATAAGCAGATACGAGGAAAACTGCGTTCT